CCAGCCCAGGGAATGGTGCTGCCCACATTTGGAGTAGGTCTTCTTAACTTAATTAGCTCAATTAGGTTCCTCATAGACATACTTAGATGTCAGGAGAGGATAAAGTCCTGAGTAAATGGATATTATTGACATGAGTACAGATAGTAACGTCAAGGACCCCAGTGCCTCAGAGCTACAGGAATGGCAAAGTGTTCCCTTGGTTTGAGTTTGGAGGTTGACACTGTATGTAGAAACTTTTAGTTGCAACTTCCTCCTCCTTGATGACTGCAACCTGAAACTGCTCCCCTACAGAGACCTCCTGCCAAGACCAGCTAGCCCTTCTCATTGCCATACATATTAAACTCTCTGAGTTTCTGATCTGCTGCTGTGTCTCCACCAGAGCTCATAATTCACATGATCCTGGTTTCTCTATACATGGGTCTGTTATTTCTTCACACCCTGGTGCTTCAGGCAGGTCAGTTCCAAAGCTGTGCAGGTCATGGCAACCAGGGCTTATTTTGATGGCAATTCTAAAGTCTATCAAATTGATAATCAAAATTAATCATCACACTTGGTTCTTAAAAGTTGAGGTGTAAAGGATAGAAAATAACCCTTCTGGGCTCAGCAGGTGAAGGTGCTCACTGTTAACACTGAAGACGCAAGTTCTGTCTCACATGGAGAAGCCAACTTCAGCAAATTGTTTTCTGACCTCTACATGCACACTGTGTCATGTTTGCACCCAAAACATATGACACATACACTAAATAAGTTTATACATACATGCAATAAGAAAGAAAATAGCATTTGCTCTTCTGTCTACAACTTCTACACATTTCAAATAGGTTTTGGGGCAGAGTGAGGGGCAGGAAACACACCATAGCTTCTCATTCTGGTGGTAAAGGTGTTCAGAGTTGGTTGTTTTGTCCACCCTTTCTGAGTCTCTGGAGCTTGCTGGCCTCTCATTTTGGAGCCTTTCAATTTTCTGTGTCCCCAGCCCTCCCAATTCTTTATGTAGGTGAGTATAGGGGTAGTCTTCTCCTGTCACCTGGGGTCCATCCACTCTCCTAGACCAGTTCCAGAGGGAAGTTCTGTGAAGGAGCCTCCAGGTACACACCCACTTAAACATATACATGTGTCAAATGTTCCCTCTGATGACATTCCTTTGGCCAGCATTCCATATTTCATTGCTGGAAGTTAGATGTCAGGGAGAGAATCAGGAGGCATCCACAGCAGCCCAGCTGTGGAGAGAGCACACAGCAGACATCTGAAGAGACTTGAGCAAATGCCCTTTTGTCACTCAAACACATGGCTGCTCTGGGCCTTAGCTCTACTGTCCTCTGCATGCTCCAGCCAAAACAAGCTGTTTGAGCCAATTACTACCTGTGACAGGGAACCTTGCCCTCTGATCGGACAGTTTCTGCTTTATACCGTGAATGGCAACGAGGACACAACTGCTCCAAGGTCTGCTTGAGGAGAAGGATTTTATTGTAGGCACGAGGGAGAGAACAGCCAGAGGCATTTGGAAAAGTTCAGACCGCACTGGGCCGTGAGAGGCAAGGGGTTGGGGAGCAAGAGAAGAGAGAAAGAAGAGAGAGTACACGGACCAAGAGACAAAAGACCATGTGGCCAAAATGTCTGTTGCATAGGAACCCTAAGCTGTGGAACGGGAAGCCCAGCCCCTGGTTTGGAGAGGTGAAGGGTAGACAGTAGGGTAAGAGGTGCTGGGAGGAGCCACAGGTGCTGAGTGAGACTTGTCCCAGGTTTCTATGGGACCTGACAGACAGCATGTTAGTTTCTGTTGCCATGACAGATATTTGAGAGAGCTGAAATAAAACGAAGGCATATTTATTATGGCTCACACTTTCTGAAGTACTCTGGCCAGCTGACAGCCTTGTGTCTAAGACTCTGAGGTAACATGCCATGATGGCAAGGTAAGGGTGGAGCTGAGCTACTTACCTCATGGCAGTCAGGAAGCAGAGAAGAGATATGAGAAAGGGAAGGGGACAATACGTGGCAGCCTTCGAAGCCCAGTCTACTTCTCCAAGCAGGCCTCACCTCTGAGGTCTCTGCCACCATGCAACAATGCTGTCATTTATAGTCTATCAACAGGTGAACTCACTGATGGAGTCAAGGCCCTCAAGACCCAGTCACTTCCCAGTGGCAGCCTCTGCCAGCTGGGGATCAAATTTCTCCCTAAGAGCTTTTGGAGAACATACCTACATCGTACCAGGCACTCGCCACTGCTCCAGTTGTCTGGCCAGGGAGCTCCAACTTTGATTGACAGACCCTCCCAATAACCATCAGGGTACCATTCCAGAGCAATCTGTTGGTGTGCTTGCTTTTGTTTATTTGTTTGTCTGAGGCAGGTTCTCATGTACTTCAGGCAGGCCGTCCACTTGCTATGTAGCCAAGGATGACTTTGAACTTCTGACCCTCCTGCTTCCATTTCCCTAGTGCTAGAACTACAGACATGCCCTGTTTATGTGGTGCTGGGGTTTGAACTCAGGGCTTCATGTGTGCTAGGCAAGGACTCTTATAGCTGAGCTACATCCCACCCAATGTTTTCCTCTTTGATGTTTCCTAAACCCACTAAGAACTCAGAGCATTTGTTTGTTTTCCGTGACAGGGTTTCTCTATATAAACCAGGCTGGCCTTGAATTCACAGAGCTCTGCTGCCTCTGCCTCCCGAGTGTGACTTGTTTATCAGCAAGCCCCCAGGATCCTATGTCTCTGCCTTACTCAGTGCTGGGGCCACAGGTGCATTCCCTTACACCTGGCTTTATGTGGGTGCTAGGGATCTGATTTCAGGTCCTCATGCTTATAGGCAAATACTACCCACTAGGCAATCTACCTTGACCCCCTTATGGAGTGTGTGTGTGTGTGTGTGTGTGTGTGTGTGTGTGTGTGTGCCCACACATGGTGTGTGTAGTGTTGGGGGTGGAATTCAGAGCCCTATACATACTAAACACACATGCTGTACCACTGAGCTACATCCCCAACCCTCATATGAAATGCAGTAACAAGCAAAAAGGAGCATACAGTAATAGATGTGTGACACTGGTTTGTCACCAGGAGCATGGGGATGGGAATGTACTAGAGAAAGGCAGGAGGATGGACCTGGAATGATGGAGTTACTCCACATCTTAATTGGGGTGTGGATTATACATGTGTATACATTTATCAAAATTCATCAACCATGTAAGATTTATGCATTTCACTGTGTGTAAACTAAAAAGCCATACCACTGCAAATAAGCAGTGAGCCCCAGCTAATGACGTGTGTGCTGAAGCATTCAGAGATGAAGTGGCACTGATTTCTGGAATTTGTTTAGTAATGCATAAAAATTAGATGTATCAATGTACATGTGATAAAGCAAATATAGAAAAAGGTTAATTATAGAATGGAGGTGGTAAATATATTATCAACTTTTCTGTGTGCATGAAAAATGTTGTCATGAAACGACAGTGTGAAGATTATATGCAAACCAAGATTATAAACTGACAACCATAGCCAATTTGTAATCACCTAGAAGGTTAACATGTTTTTATATTCAACTAAAGTAATTCAGCATGAGTTTTCACATTACCAAAGTGAGAAGGGTTGTGAGACAGCTTAGTATTTGAATAAAGGTGACTGTTGCCAAACCTGACCACCTGATTCCAGGAACCTGAACCCAAGGTGGAAAGAGAAAACCGACCCTTTAAAGTTGTCCTCTGACCTCTCTACACAAGCACCGTGGCACCGTGTACACACACGCACACACACACCACACACACTCACACACACACACACACACACACATAGAATTTGTCCAGGCACAGCTGTTTCTGTCGTTTCTTACATTTCACATCTTCGGAAGTCACCTGCTTTTGCTTCCTTCTTACTCAGGTAATATTATTTTCCTTCTTAGGTTTCTCATGGGATTGAAGACTAGGCAGACACAGTGACAGTTCTCCCTTATCTTGGCAAAAGACATATTATGGACAAAACTTTGAATTCTTTTTCTTTCTTTCTTTCTTTCTTTCTTTCTTTCTTTCTTTCTTTCTTTCTTTCTTTCTTTGGTGTTTTTGAGACAGGGTTTCTCTGTATAGCAGCTCTGACTGTCCTAGAACTCACTTTGTAGACCAGGCTGCCCTCAAACTCACTGAGATCCACTTGCCTTGGCCTCCCAAGTGCTAGGATTAAAGGTATGTGCCACCACCATCTGGCAAAACTTTGAACTCTTCAGGAGAGGACAGCTATTAGAGTAATCACTATAATTTTGCCAATTACTTACAGATTGGATGTTTGGAATGTATCTTGATAATTGTTCTTGTATGTAGTTTAATTTTTTTAAGGTTATGACTTTTCCTATCTGTCTGGACAATACCTTATTATATAGTCTGATTATGTTAGAGGTAGAGCCTTTCCTTCTTCATTAGACAGAAAGGGGGAAATGTTGCTGTAGTTTTCTTGTCCGCCAGGTCCTGCTGCCCTTGAGCCCCAAATAAACACACAGACACTATATTAATTATTAAACTGTTGGCCGATGCCTAGGGCTTCTTATTGGCTAGCTTTGTCTTAATTATAAATCCATTTCTATAAATCTATGTATTTCCATGTGGTCTTGGCTTACCAGAGAATGTCTGGACCTGTTTGTCCTTTGCAGGCTACTTGTCTGTTTTTTGGCAGGGTCTCCCAACTTACCTTTCCCAGAAATCTCCTTGTCTCCTAGCCCTAATTATTTTCCTGCCTCTCTGGCCAAACAGTGTTTTCTTCAGCAACCAATAAGAGAAACATATAATCACAGAAGGACATTCCCTATCAGGGAAATGGTATGGAATTTCTGCCGCTGGTCTACTAGCCAACGGAGAGTAGCGTTTTGGTCCAAGGGGCATAGTTTTCATGGGGCTGGACGTGACAGGATGAGGGACACACAGCCTTTTTGTTGTTGCTGTTGTTGTTGCTGCTGTTGTTTTGGTTTTGTTTGTGTAGACAGGGTTTCTCAGTAGCTATGGAGCCAGTCCTGGTTGGTTTGGAACAAGGAAGCAGGAGCAACAGCAGCAGCAGCAGCAGCATAGCAGCTGGTGACCTGGTTAGGATTCTCTGTTCCACTTTGTGCGAGGATTTTGCTTGAAAATAAACGGTAAAGTTTATTGTCCCTCCTTTTTAGTGTGTGTGTGTGTGTGTGTGTGTGTGTGTGCGCGCGCGCGCCCACCTCACATGTATGTACAGGTACCCGAGGAGGCCAGACCTGCTACATCCCCCCCCCAACTGGAGTTACTTGGTTATGAGCCCTTGATGTGGGTGCTGAGAACTGAACCCAGGTCTTCTCCAAAAACAGCAAGTGCTCTTAACCATTGATCCATCTCTCCAGGACCCCTAAAAGTTAATTTTTAAAAAAATTTTGAGTTGTTATTAGTGGTGTGTGTTTATGTGTAGTGTGAAGCTGGGAATTGAAACCAGGACCTTTAATATATGGAGCCATATGATAAAAACCCATATTTCTCCTTAAATAATCTCCCTATCCCTTCCCTCATTTGGGAGGGGGTTTGGTGTTTATGTAAAGCTTGTGGGAGCTCTTTGTGAGGTAAGTGTATTAATCCCATGCCTCATGTGTTGGTTATATATGTTTCTCTCAGTTTATTGCCTACCTTTAAGTTCACTTTGATTTTGAAGTAATTGTAGATAATGTGATTTTCATGTTAGGAATGTATAACTATTGCACTGTGGGTGAATGTTTATGAATTCTGTCATTATCTCAGGTTAGCAAAAATAAAATGGATGTGTTTATTTTATTTAATATAATGATGTTTTTATTGATTTGTTGGGGATTCTACATCATATACCCCATCCCTCACTTCCCAGTCTTTCTGAGTCCATCCCCACCTTTGTGACCCCCCAAAAAACTTTTAAAAAATAGAAAAGTAAAAAAAAAAAAGCTAGGCAGTAATCCCAGCACTTAGGAGGCAGAAGCAGTCATTTTTGAGGCCAGTCTGATCTACAGAGTGAGCTCCAGGGCAGCCAGGGCTACACAGAAAAACCCTGTCTTGAAAAACCAAAACAAACAAACAAACAAAAAACCAAAAGAAAAAGATAAAGAAAAAGAAAGTTCAATGTGTGTAATCTATACACTCCCTTAAATAGGATTGAGACCTTCCCCTACCTCTGCTGCAACAGAAACTGTCAGTTGTGGAGAGCTACACTTCACACTTTTTTCTTTTTTTTTTTCTTTTTTTTTTTGGTTTTTCGAGACAGGGTTTCTCTGTGGTTTTGGAGGCTGTCCTGGAACTCACTCTGTAGACCAGGCTGGTCTCGAACTCACAGAGATCCACCTGCCCCTGCCTCCTGAGTGCTGGGATTAAAGGCGTGCACCACCACCACCCGACCTTATCACACTTTTTAAGAGTTCTCTTCAGCTGGGCGTCAGCGCCTTACAGTCAGAGGGAGTACAGATCCTGGTTTTCCACATGGTTTCTGGCACACAGCACAGTTCATAAACATTGCCCCCAGCTTCAGTAGGACCCAGGCAAGGCCCTCAGAGGCAACCCACACTCTGGACATGGCCTCAGGTGGCAGCACTAGCCACCCATATCGATATGACCCACAGTCATCTACATAGCTTCGGTCAGCAGCACGAATTTGCAGTCTTGGACTCGGGTTTCATCATGACCTGGGTATGACCATGGCCACCAACATGGCCCCTGTGACATCATAGGCGACAGGGATCCTTCAAGGAGGTCCAATCCAGAAGGCGAAATGTGCTTCATCTCTGTCCTCCATTGTTGCCTGGAGCTGAGCAATCCCGCAGTGGGCAGCTTGCGGGGCGGGGCTTAAGTCTGCATCTGTGTAAACTACGGGCTGCTGCGTATCATCCGCCAACCCTGCTGGGCAAGGGCTTGTTCTGCTGTAGACCTCAGTCCTCTCTCACAGCTGTCACTGCCATCACACGTCCAGTTCTGCCTCTCTGTTTTCTGTTGCCCACCTCTTCATCACATTTTTTTTTTGACACGGTTTCTCTGTGTAGCCCTGGCTGTCCTGAAACTCACTTTGTAGAGATCCTCCTGCCTCTGGCTCCTGAGGACTGGGATTAAGGGTGAGCGCCACCACTGCCCAGCTCCATAGCATGTTTGTTCAGTGTAGTGGCACCTGCAGCCACAAAATGAATTATTTTTAACTTCATTTTTTTACTAAAAGGGCCTATTTTAGTCATCTGTAGTTTCATACAGACTTGGATATATGAGATTTTTCTATGAAATGAAATAAAATCCAATAAAATACAGGTATTTAAAATATATAATTTTTTGTGAGCCTACTTGGGTATCTCTTCATTGTATAACTTAATCAGGTATTTAAAAGTGTGACTTGCCGGGCATTGGTGGCGCATGCCTTTAATCCCAGCACTTGGGAGGCAGAGGCAGGCGGATCTCTGTGAGTTCGAGGCTAGCCTGGACTACAAAGTGAGTTCCAGGACAGCCTCCAAAGCCACAGAGAAACCCTGTCTCGAAAAACCAAAAAATAAAATAAAAATAAATAAAAAAAATAAAAATGTGACTTTAGTGGGACTGGAAAGATGTTTCAGTGGTTAAGAGCACTTGTTGCCCTTCCAGAAGGTCCTGGTTCAGCTCTTATCACCCACAGGATGATAACCATTTGCAACTCTTTTACCCTCCTCTGGCTTTCAGGAGTACCAGGAAGGCAAGCAGTGACATATGTACATGTAGACAAAACACTTTACACAGAAAACAATAATAAGCTAGTGTTTTGTTTTATTCAAAACAGGGTCTCACTATGTAGTCCTGACTGGCCTAGAGCTCTCAATGTAGACCAGTCTGGCCTTGAACTCACAGAGATCATCCTGCCTCTGCCTTCCAAGTGATGGAATTCATCACCATGTCTGGCCCAAAATAATAATAAAAAATTGCAGGGCGAGGGGGGGTACCATGTATTCTTCCCTCCAGCCTGGTTCCTGGGCGGCATCAGTCCCAAATGAACACGCAGGGCGCTACACTAATTATGAAGCTGTTGGCCATTTGTTATGGTTTCTAATGGCTAGCTCTGACTTAATTATTAACCCATAATTACCAATATACATTTTTACAAGGTCTTACATTACCAAGGATGCCAGACTTGCACCCTCTCCTCCAGGGATCACATGGCAACTCTCCACTCCTGACTACATTTCCCAGAATCCTCCTTGACTTCTAGTCCCACCTATTTTGCTTCCCTATTGGCCAACAGTGCTTTATTTATCAACCAATCAGACAAACATATATACAGAAGGACTTCCCCCATGGGGTGAGGGGGCTGCTTTTTGAGACTGGTTTATCTGTGTAAGAGTCCTAGCTGTCCTGGAACTTGCCCAAACCAGGCTGGTTCAAACTCACAAATATCTACCTGCCTCTGCCTTCTGAGTGCTGTGCAACATCTCCACCTAGCTAAAATAAGTAAATCTGAAAACAACCAAACAGCAACAAAAACCCTATATGACATTAGCTTGGGCCTCTTTTTTTTTTTTTTTTTTTTTTTGCAACAGGGTCTCATGTTGCCTAGGCTGACCTTGAACTCACTATGTCACCAAGGATGATTGGAATCCTGATCCTCTGGCTTCTACCACCCAAAAGCTAGGATTTACAAGAGTGTGCCACCTACTATGCCTAGTTTATATAGTGCTAGGGTTGGAAGCCAGGACATCCTGCACACTGGGCTCTCTACTGACCTCATCCTCGTCACTAGCATGGATCACCTAATGGCTCTGGGATCTGTTTCCTTCGAGCTCTGAGTCCTGGCAGCACAGTGAGCTCTGATCTCTGATGACTGCTGATGGTGCAAGCCTTTGTATATCTTTAGCCAGAGATAGACTCCAGACATCTGCTGCTCGTACTGAAGCAGCTCCCAACAGCATCTTTATTAGAAGGCTGATCATGCACACACGCGCGTGAGCGCGCACGCGCGCGCACACACACACACACACACACACACACACACACACACTCCCATGATGCATCAGGCCGGCATGCTGATCTCCCAACTCTTATAACATTGAATAGAACTGGAAGGCACATCATGTCCTTTGGGGGGAGTGATAACAAAGAATCTTTGTAAGGCAAACACTTATTGAAAATGGACATTTTGTAATCTTTTTCTGGAAACTGAAAGAGATTTCGCATTCCTACATTTACCTGATGCCATAGCTGGAATAAAATAAGTACAGGCACAGGCAGCCCAAACTCCAACCCTTTCTGATGGCATTTGGAGGGGGTGGAGGGGGGGTGGAGCTAGAGCTCAAATGGCAGAGTGCTTGCTTGCCTGGCACAGAGGAAGCCATGATTTCATCAGCAGCAAGAATAAACTGGGCATGGTGGTGCATTCTTGTAATCCCAGCCTTTGGGAGTTGGAGGCAGCCTGGGCTACTCGAGAGCCAGTTCTCTCACCACAGCCACCAAAAGCCTGCTGGGATGGCTTAGTGGGAAAAGGAGTTTGATCCCCTATAAACTAAGCCTGAGTTTGATCCCTAGAGCAACATAAAGGTGAAAGGACAGCCGGGCGTTGGTGGCCCACACCTTTAATCCCAGTACTGGGGAGGCAGAGGCAGGCGGATCTCTGTGAGTTCGAGGCCAGCCTGGTCTACAAAGTGAGTTCCAGGACAGCTTCCAAAACAATACAGAGAAACTGTGTCTCGAAAAAAAAAAAAGAAAAAGAAAAAGAAATAAATTAATAAAGGTGAAAGGACAGAATATATTCTGCAGTTTCCTTTGACCTTGTGCCCATGCTTGCACAGCACACACACACACACACACACACACACCTTTAAAACTTGTGGGAGAGGTGCTGTTTTGAATCCCAATATTTAAGCAACTCAGACTCTGTGAATCACAAGGAAGAGAATGTCAGAGAGCCAACGCCATTGAACCTGTGGGGAGATAAAGGACTTAAAAGACAAATCCCCATGCCAACACAGCTGGCACCCACGCTGCCACCCTCTGAGGAGAGCGGATTTCCTTGCTGGTTAGCTATGGTGCTGCCCTTCTGTTAGCTTGATTTGGGGGACCCACGTGTGAGGCAATGCCTTGGGATTGGAGCCTTGAAATCATGGCATGTGTGGTCAGGCTTAAGGGAGGCATTCATCTGTTGTCCCTTGATACTTCAAAATAACAAGATGAAATCTGTCAGAGGCTTAAAAGATAAATGTCGGAATATCAAAACAACAAATAGTTACAGGAGCCTCATTGACTCTGGGAGGGGCTACAGGAGCCTCATTGACTCTGGGAGGGGCTACAGGAGCCTCATTGACTCTGGGAGGGGCTACAGGAGCCTCATTGACTCTGGGAGGGGCTACAGGAGCCTCATTGACTCTGGGAGGGCTTCTCTTCCAACAGTGGCTTGTCCATTTGAAGCAAAGTTAAAATTCTTGTTTGACTTAGTTTTAAATAGGTAACGCATTCACACCAACCCCAAATCAAATGTCATAAAAGGAGGGCAGAATAAAGTGTTTCCCTCCTATTTTATACCCTATCCACTCTATTCCTAGTCCCATACTACCCTTCAAGCAATACACATGTATCAGTTTCTTTTTATTCCTTCCAAAATTCCATTTTATAAAAACAAACTATCATTATTGTTATTGGTTTGAGAGGGGTCTCATGTAGCCCAGCTGGGCTTGCTATGTGCCTGAGGATGGCTTTGAACTCCTAGTTTTCTTGCCTCCACTTTGCTAGTGCTTTGGGTACAGGCATTCGCTGTTGCCCTACCTTCCATACAGTGGTTTTGTGCTTAAACTACTGCTGCTCCAGTCAGCAATTGTGACTCGAAAGTTACAGGCCTGCTTCTATGACAATGGCTAGGACACTGAGGCCTCAGCCTGGTGGAATTAGGTCTCCTGGACCCACACCCATGACTCTATTGCTGCCACTAAAGGCAGCTTTAACTAAATCTCTATTGTTCTATTTATAAATGAGGCCTAAGATTCAAAGGCTAGAGTGAAAACCTTCTTCGAGCTCAGAGAGTTTGAGTAGCAACTAGCTAGCTCTCTCTCCTTTCTGGTGTCCCTGGAAGAGAGCATCCTTCCACTTCAACCCAACTAAAAAAAGGCAACCAAGCAAAAAAACAAAAACAAAACAAAAAAACAAAAAACAAAAAATCTGGGCTACATGTGGTTCCTCCATGCTACTTACTGTGTGTCTTTCCATCTCTACCAGATGCCCTCTGTTGTTCTATGATTACTTCCTGTCAACTAGTTGCTAACTCAGTCTCTCTGAGTCAAGGTTAATTTTATTTAATTACACAAAAGCAAACTTGGGCTTCACAGTGGAATCAAATACCCCACTACAACTCAATATCATTCCCTGTTTATGTGGTGCTGGGGACAGAACCCAGGACTTCCAGTGTGATGGCTCACATTGATTATTAACTTGATACAATATAGAATCACCTTGGAAACAAATCTCTGGCCACGTCTGTGAGTGTTTGTCTAGACTGGGTTAATAGAGGTGTCAAGACTCACCTGACCCGTGGGCAGTGTCTGAACCTCTCAGTGCTTTGTTTCCTCATTTGCACATACAGGAGAAACATCTTTGTCACCCTTGTTTTATGCTAATTGAGAACTAAGTGAGCTAATACAGGAAGCACTGACTACAGGCCTGCAACTAGGGAGCCCTCTATATGTGACGTTGTCATTGGTAGTCTTGGCTCCTGAGTTTAAGAACATCAGCTCTGGAAATCCAGAGAGTATCTTAAGTCAATCTTACTTCCTGACCTGTTAAGGCCATCTGTGGAATCCTACTTTGTGAAGCTTCAGAGTCAGACTTGCCCAGTACATACCTGAGAGGGGGAGTGTGGATTGAGAAATGGTGGGTAAAGATACTAAGGAAAGCCAGGCGTTGGTGACACACGCCTTTAATCCCAGCACTCAGGAGGCAGAGGCAGGAGGATCTCTGTGAGTTCAAAACCAGCCTGGTCTACAAGAGCTAGTTCCAGGACAGCCTCCAAAGCTGCAGAGAAACCCCCTCTCGAAAAACAAACAAACAAACAAAAAAAAGATACTAAGGAAAAGACACAGATTAGAGTCAGAAGGACATTCCAGTGAGTACTGAACACCCAAGTTTATTCTTCAACATTCTAGTATACCCAAACCAAAACGGGGAAATGGCAAAAGACTTCTTTATCATGATACAAGGAAGAAACAGATTTTCTTCCTTAATTCTCCAAACATTTGGCAATCATGCCTTAGCCTAAATCTCTTATTATCTGGCCTTGAGTGTTAAGAGTAACAACCATACCCTAGAACAAGTCTCTTGTTATTTAGAGAAGACATCCACACCTAAAACCAAATATCTTATAGTAGTCATGCTTTAGACCTTTACGTCTTATGACTTTAACCTTGGAAGAGCAAGGATAGTTTTGAACTCTCTGACCTTAAGGCAAGATGAAGCAAAGCTATTTTTATGGACCCTGATACTGACCTATAGAACGTAGACAGCCTACCATCATAGGGTTTTGAGATGTGTGTGTGGTGGTGGTGGGGCTACCAGTTAACTTAGTAAAAGTGCTTGCTGCCAAGTCCAATGACCTGAATTTGATTCCCAGGCTCACATGGTGGAAGGAGAGAACCAAGTCATGTGGGCTGTTGGTCCTCATCTACACACGTTAGTTTGTGTGCCTGAGCAGGTGAGCACTCTTTTGTACTCACTCCAATGCACACGCACAAACACACAGTCACTCATGTACTAACGAAATAGATGTAATAAAAAAATCTATATGTAATATCTGCACATCACTTGACAATGCCTCGAACTTGGTAAATGCTATTGACTTTCATAAATTTCCAGATGCTATAGACTGTAAAACATGATGTTATTTTATATACTAAGAGTGAAAAACCATTCCAATTGAATTACGGCAGGCCTTTGATGGTAATCTATCTTCATTTCAGATATGTTACTGAGTGAAGAACCACATGTCTCTGGCTTGGTGAAGGGAGGGGTCTGGGTGCTGGCAATTCCACTTTTGGATTTTCACTGAAAATTACATCTTGAATATTGTTCTGGGTACAGAGAGGGCCTTCTTTCTATCCTAAATGGCTATATAGTAATACACTGTGTGGGTAAGCAGTGAATTATTTAACCAGTCCTGTATTGTTTTCCAGGCTGTCCCTGTTACAAATGAAGTCATGATGAGTTCTCTGTAGTCATATTGTCTTCGGAGTCAGCTGGGATGCCTGGATGATTCATTTCCAGACTCAGCATCTTGAGGTCAACAAGCCCATGAACTTTAAACTTCTGCAGCTCTGTTAAACTCATTTTAAAATCAAGGCTGCTTCTAACTGTGGATCAAGAATGTTTAATTGTGGCCCAGGCTGACCTCAAACTTACTATACAGTCAAGGATAACCTTGAACTTGTGATCTTTCTTTCTCCACCTATCACTGATGGGGTTACAGATTAGCTACCACGGTTGGTTTATACAGGGCTGGGGATTGAACTCAAGGCTTTGTGCACATTAGACAAACACTCTACCAACTGAGCCACACCCCCAGTCCATGAATGTTTGAAAAAAGTATTTAAAAGGCTGGAGCTAATGGAAGAAGCGCAAGTATATGGCAAAGGGACATCTCAGATGTCACCAGTGTCTGTGGAAGCTGGTGATAAGCATTTTGGCCCTTTCCTTTCCTTTCCTTTCCCTCCCTCCCTCGCTTCCTTCCTTCCTTCCTTCCTTCTTTCCTTCCTTCCTTCAGGTTTTTGGTTGGTTGTTTGTTGATACAGGGTGTAGCTCTATAGCCAAGCTGTAATATCCCAGGCAAACTGAACTTGCAATCTCCCTGCCTCAGCTTCCCGAGTGCTAAGATCAGCTGGCATGAACTACTAGGCCCATCTCATGGCACTGTCTGTTTCTAGAAAACTCTCTTATAGAAATGCTCACACAAGCCAGGCGGTGGTGGCGCACACCTTTAATCCCAGCACTCGGGAGGTAGAGGCAGGCAGATCTCTGTGAGTTCGAGACTGGCCTGGTCTACAAGAGCTAGTTCCAGGACAGCCTCCAAAGCAATACAGAGAAACCCTGTCTTGGAAAATCCAAAACAAACAAACAGAAAGAAATGCTCACACAAGTGGTCAAGACATGTGTAGTGATAAAAGCAGGTACGATGTAGAAGGCACCCGCTCAGCTTTATAGATTCAAAACCATCTCATCTCGTGGCACTCTGGGGCAGGGGCTACCAGCTCAGTTTTACAGACAGAGAACCTTGAAGCGCACAGGGTAAAACTAGCCAACTGCAAGAAACAACGACACTGACCACTCAACAGTAGTCTGCACTTTGCAGTGACAAATACAGTTTTGAAATGATGTTTAAAAAAAGTTTTAGCCGGGTGGTGTTGGTACACACCTTTACTCCTGGAACTCACAAGGCAGAGGCCAGCCTGATCTACAGAGTGACTTCTAGGACAGGCAAGGCTATCCAGAGAAACCCTGTGTCGAAAGACAAACAAACAAAAGCAAAACCCCCAAAGCAAATCAAATACTATGCTGTAGAAAGCAATGCAGCCATGACAAAGAATGAAATAAATCTATAGAGCAACATCGCGTGTCTACAATGTATTGACTGGTTAGGGATTTTACATTCCGGGGTTGGAGAGATGGCTGAGTGATTAAGAGTACTTGCTGTCCCTAAAGAGGACTAGGCTTAGTTTTCAGCACCCATGGTAGACTCACAACCATCTATAATATTTATTTTCTGTGTTTGTGTATACATGTGGGTGCCTGCATGCCATGTGGAGGTCAGAGGGCAACTTTGTGGAGTTGGTTCTCTCCTTCCACATTTGCATGGGTTCCTGGGAATGGAACTCATGTTAGTAGGTTTGTTCTGCAAGAACCTTCACCCTGCAGGGCGTTGGTGGCACATGCCTTTAATCCCAGCACTTGGGAGGCAGAGGCAGGTGGATCTCTGTGAGTTCAAAGCGAGTCTGATCTCCAGAGCGTGTTCTAGGACAGGCTCCAAAACAATACAGAGAAACCCTGTCTCAAAAAACAAAACAAAACAAAAGAAAGAAACCTCACCCTATGAGCCATCTTGGTGACCTGAAATAAAAATGAAATATTTTAAGGACTGGGGTCTATAACTCGGTGGCACACAACTTGCTTAGCATTTGTGAGGTCTTATTTGATTTGTAGGACCACAAAAGCTACATAAATAACTTTTTTTTTCTTTAAGACAAGAGTCTCACTCTGTAGCTTTGGCTGGAACTCACCGTGTAGACCAGGCTGGCCTTGTACTCACAAAGATCCAACTGCCTCCCAAGTGCTGGGATTAAAGATGTGGACCACCAGGTCTGGCTCGTAAATATCAGTATGAAAGGAGGTTGCAGGGCGGCTTGGACACTTTCCTCCCTTGACCTCTGCCTCCCTTCCTGCCCTTTCTCTTTACAGCCAGTCTGAGCTATGCTCGTGGGAGGGAGAGGCTGTTTTTGGCCATGAAACCCTAGACACAGGGCAAAGCTCAGCTGACTACTCAATACTGCATACTCCACGGCTTCTGACAGAAAAGGGAGTCTACTGACTCAGAAGCCTATCTTAAAAAGCAGTGGAACTCGGGCATTGGTGGCACACGCCTTTAATCCCAGCACTTGGGAGGCAGAGGCAGGCGGATCTCTGTGAGTTCGAGGCCGGCCTGGTCTACAAGAGCTAGTTCCAGGACAGCCTCCAAAGCCACAGAGAAACCCTGTCTCAAAAAATCAAAATACATAAATAAATAAATAAATAAATAAATAAATAAATAAAGCAGTGGAACTGTAACAGGCTGCAGCTGTTCTTGCTGCCAAAGTGTGTCAACCAGGATGTGGGTTTTGTGCTTAAAAGGAAGGCAAAGAATTGTGAGGCAGGGGCTGCCTGAGTGGGCCTCTGACCAGCAATACAGACTTTGCAGACTTTCTATCCCACGTGTGTGGTGGGGCATGCCTTTAGTACAGCACTAGGGAGGCAGAGACAGGCGTGACCGAGGCCAGCCTGGTCTACAAAGCTACACAGAGAAACCCTGTCTCAAAACAAACAAACAAACAAACCCAAATTTTTAAAGAAGTTTTAAATTTCGAATGAGTATTATATTTTATGAACTGTCTTTTCTTCTCATGTTGAAATGACTGTAGGGATTTCATCCTTTATTCTGTCAAATTAGTCTTAAAATCTAGTAATAAAGTTTGCTTAGTCATGGTATATTATACTTTTTTTTTAAATTGGGATTTAAATTGTTTGCTTATTTCAAGACAGGGTTTCTTTGTGTAGCCATGACTGTCCTGGAACTCACTCTGTAGACCAGGCTGGCTGCAAACTCACAGAGATCCGCCTGCCTCTGCCTCCTGAGTGCTGGGATTAAAGGCGTGCACCACCAGCGCCCAGCCCATCTTGCTGTTTTTTTAAAGAGTTATTTTTTAAATTATGTCTATATGTGTGGTCCTCGGAAAGGTCAGAAGCCGGTGTTAGATCCCTGGATCTGGAGCCATGAGAGTTGTGAGCTGCCTAAAGTGAGCCTATCAGTGAGACAAAGTTTCTCTTTGTCCTGAAGTTTACAGATTAGGCCAGGCTGGACAATCAAAGGACTTTTTCTGATTGCCTCCCTGGCCCTGGGATTACAAGTACATGCCTCCATGGCTAGTTATTTTGTTTTTGTTTTTAACAAGGATTCTTGGAATGTGACTCAGGTTCTCAGGGCCATTCAGCAAGCACTTTGCTAACTGAGCGGTGCGTGCCCCAGTCTCCTGGTATCTTTTCCTCTCAGAACTTTCTCTCAGTTTTGGAGTGATTGAAAGGCTCTTTTAATCCTATTTACGTATTGTTTTTCTTTTATCATACACCTCTCTTATATATGAATTGGAAAAGAAAAATGGTAGCAAGACTGATTGGTGATAGCAGACTTCCCCACTCTCGCAATCTGGCTTTTCTCCTGCGTTGCTGTGGCCCAGCATCAGTGGCAGTCATGTTTCTGGACACAGAGTTGTGCTCTGTCAGCAAGAAGCTGCAGAAGCATCATCCTTACAAGGTCACTTTGTTTGTTCTTTGTAACTCTCTTGGCTGGCACTGAAGTGCAGACAGTGACAGGCCCTCAAGATTGCTGCCTGACGGTAGGAGAGTCTCAAAGGAAGGACAGGAGGGTGCAGCACAGAGGGGTGAGGTTTGTCTAGCATGAAGGAAACCCTGGATCCCATCCCCAGTACAGTGGTAACCAGGCATGGTGGAATATACATGTAATCCCAGCACTGAGTGTAGGGAAAAAGGACTAGCCCAAGAAACACACCCTGAGCAGAGCCAAAGAAACACACTTTGGCCCTGCAACCAGAGCCAAATCTGACCCTAACCCTGTGCAGAAAACTAACTAATCCTTGAGTAGGAGCTCTAGCCAATCTGAGCTCAGCATTGAAATCTGACCCATCCCTACCCTGGAAAAACTTCCCCTCTCCCCTAAGAATGCCTATATAAACCCTGTGTATGTTCAGTTTGGCCGGTCCAGCTGCTTCCTTCCAATAAACTCCTTTGACCAGCTTTGGGTGAAGATCTTTTGTGGGAGCAGAGACAAAGCAGACCAGAGCGAGCAGGGCTGTAACACTTCAGCTGGGGAAACCTTCCCTTTGCAGAGCAGAGCTGTTACACTCTGCACCTCTCCTGCAGGAGCAAAACTGCTACACAGAGCGAACATCCCCAGCTGGAAGACCCTCCCCTGCCAGAGCAGAGCCGATACACTGGGAAGCCTTTCCCTGAAGCAGGACTGTAAGTTGCTCTGATTACTGCGGCCTGTGGTATTCCTTGGCTTCCAAGCTCCAGGATACTTTTCCGTGTGAGCTGTGTAACAGTATTCTGTGGCTCCTGAGCTCCAGGATACCTTTCCATCTGAGCTGTCTAACACTTGGTATTCTATGACTCCCAAGTGCCAGAATACCTGTCCCATCCACTGGGGAGATAGAGACAGGAGAATCAGAAGTTCAAGGTTATCTTCAGATACATAATGAGCTTGAGGCCAGCTTTGGATACATGAAACTGCCGTCTCCCCAACCCCCCCCCAAAAAAAAATAAAGAAATGAGGCTCCTGGAATCAGACAGCATCTCAGACACACATTTTGCTATGTGCTGCGATGTGGTGACCTGCTCACTACATCTCTGTAGTCCTTTGGAATGCAGGTCATATTTTCGTCTTCTCTCTCTAAGTCTGGAAATGGAGGCTCAGAAGAGTGAAAGCACTCGTGAAACCCACTGGAGGAAGGACTGAAATCCTGCTGTGTCACGCACAGCACCGTCTCTTTCTGCTCCCCTTCGCACCGCACTAGTTCCCCTACCCCACCCTTTGGAACCTCGTACACTGCCCCAGGTTAACAGCCCGGGGGTCCTGTTTCTCCAGCCACTGCATGGAAGTGTCGGGTATGATTACATCACTGAATACACTACTTGGCTCTGTAACTTATCCTATCCCACTGACCTGCGGGAAGCTGAGGCTCTCAGTCCCTGACTGGTCCTCCTGTGGGTCTAGAGCTGCCAGTCTCAAGGCTCTCCTGCAAGTGCCCTCCACCAATGCTGAACACCCTTCCTGTTTCCTGATCCACAGCTGGGTCCTCACTCCATGCTGTGGGGTAGGTCTTTCTCCTAGGGGAGTCTCTGTTCTTCCTTTTGAAGACAGAGTCTCACCTATACCAGGCTGGCTTCAAATTTTCTATGTAGCCAAGGATTGCCTTAAGCTTCTGAGCCTCTGTCTCCTGAGGCTTGGGCTTACAAGGGTATACTTCCACGGTAGGGTAATGTGTTGCTGGGGGTTGAATGCTAGGCAGGTGCTCTGCCAATGACACCCAAGCTTTTTATTGTATTTTTATTATTATTTTTTGCTCTGTTTTTCGAGACAGGGTTTCTCTGTATAGCGTTGACTATCTTAAAACTCACTCTAGGCCAGGCTGGCCTCCCAGGGATATACCACTGTGCTAAGTTTGTGCAGTGCTGGGGATTGAACCAAGGGCTTTGTTCGTGCTAGGCAAGCAAATCCATCAGTTGGGCTACATTACCAGCCTACCCTGTCTGTCCACCTAAATAATAATAAACTATTTATTTATTATTTATTTAGCTGGGGTTGAACACAGGGCATACTAGGCAACATACATTAAAGAATTATTTATTTATCTATTTTACATGCATGGGTGTTGTGTTTTGTCTGTTTGTGTGCTTACGCACCGTGTGTGCCCAATCCTCTGGGACTAAAGTTGCAGATGGTTGTGAGCTACCTTGTGGGTACTAGGGATCACACCCAGGTCCTCTAGAAGAGGGGCCACTGAACTGTCTCTCTAGCCCACAATACACATTTCTAAAAATTTGTTTTATTTTTATTCCATGCGCATTGGTGTTTTACCTGCATATTTGTCTGTCTGAGGGTGTCAAATCCCTTGGAACTGGAGTTACAGACAGTTGTGAGCAACCCTGTGGGAGCTGGGAGTTGAACCTGGGACCTCTGGAAGAACAGCCAGTGCGCTTAAATGCTGAGCCATCTCTCCAGGCCCCACAAAACACATTTTTAAAAATTCTTTTTGCTGTTATTTTTTTCTTTTCTTTTCTTT